AGAAGTGGAAGAAAGGGTGCTTGCAGCCTTCAGTGACTCATGGAGGGTCTGTCATGGTTCCAAGATGTCCCCAAAGGAATTCAAGGTGTGCAAAGAGGTCGCACTAAATGCTGACTTTAGACTGTGGAAGCTGTTGTATTCTGAAAGGCTTAATATTGTGAATATTCTAGTCGGTGTGAAATGTAAATTACAGAACTAATGTTGGCTTGAGACATTTTCATAGTGCTGTATGTGGTACCACAAACATGCCCACAACATACAGGTTAACTGGCATGTTTGGGTTAGTTAAGCTTGTTTTTGGAATCGGCTTTATTGGCCAGGTATCTCCCCAAAGGAATTCAAGGTGTGCAAAGAGGTCGCACTAAATGCTGACTTTAGACTGTGGAAGCTGTTGTATTCTGAAAGGCTTAATATTGTGAATATTCTAGTCGGAGTGAAATGTAAATTACAGAACTAATGTTGGCTTGAGACATTTTCATAGTGCTGTATGTGGTACCACAAACATGCCCACAACATACAGGTTAACTGGCATGTTTGGGTTAGTTAAGCTTGTTTTTGGAATCGGCTTTATTGGCCAGGTGTGTTGTACACATGAGGAAACTGACTCCAGTACAGTGGCTCCCAATGTACAATGTTAAGACAATGCGCCAACAAGGTAAAACTGGGAACAAGTAAGTGCACTGGGAAAATAAAGTATATGGAGAAATATTAACCATCCTTGTCACCATAACTATATTTGGTGGGCAATTATTTTTTCCATGGGGCCACATGAGAAGCAAAAATATTGTGGAGGGCCGGGCCAAAAGGCTGAACTCAATTTTGCATAATATTAATTGTATTTCTTTATAAAAAGCAATAAATAGCATTGTTTTGACAAGCTGGTAAGAGTATATGTTGTAGTTGAGCAATGAAAGTGAGGTTGGCTTACAAAAGTCATTTATTCAATCAAATTTCCCAAAACAAGGGGATAAACAAAATGAGAACATTTTTTACCATTTGACTCATTAGTGAACATTTTCAGTCATATTCACTCCAGAACATATTTTGAGTTTCATATACTGTTGGAAAGTTGTGTAAAGGTTGTTAGCATTCTAAAGACATCACAATATTTTCTTTGTGCTCCAAACATTAAGCAAGATGCATCGTATTGAACTGTGATTTTGAGAAAAAGAAAGTGTCCGAGTCTGACGTTTTTCCCTGTAAGATTTGGACAACCGTCCGTTGTGACACCTACCAGTCTTTTTTCTTGATCAGTGAGAGAAATCTAGTCTCTACTGGGCTTTAAGGAGTGCATCAAAGTCAGGTTGAATGTCTTTTCTTTCAATGACCGCATTGCTGCCAGCTCCTCCGTGATCTCAGTGAAAGATGATCTATACCTGGATTTCGTAAAGTTCATCATTGGAAATGTTTGTTCACATATGTAGGTAGAAAGGAGAGAAAAACAAAACTTGCCACTTCACGTTGCAGCTGATGCTCCAGATTCCCCGCAATGTCGTCGATCCTTCTCGTCACGGTTCCGCTGGCCAGC